CCCTCGCTAGTCCCGGCACCCAGAGACCCCAGTGGGGCGCGCGCCGCCCCGAGGCCGCCTAGCGGGCACACACACCTGTGCCCTACCCCGTCCAGCTGCCGCTCCGACCCCGCAGCTCGCGGGGCGGATGGGTGGGCGGGGGACCGGGCGGCCGCCGCGGGTGCGCCCGCGAGGAGCCTCGCTCGCCCCCCCGGGATGCCGGGCTATGGCAACCCTCACGCCGGCTTCGCGTGGGGCCGCCGCCTTTCCCTCCTTCAGTTTGAACTGCCCGCCCTGAGTAACCGCCCCGCGCCGCCCCGCCCCGCGCCGCCCCTTCCTCGGGCTCCGCCGCGGCCCCGCCCGCAGCCAGCCCACAGGCCCTGCCCTCTCCCACCTACCCGACCCACGCAGGTCGAAGCTCTTTTAGCACGCTCACGTGGGGAAGCATCGTTTTCAAAGGCTTCTGTGCTTTGCATTGCGGTGCTATTAGAAATAATGCAGGAAGGTATTCACTGGAAAAGATTTCCGGGCTCAAGTGTAAAAGCAGGTTACAAACGGAATGAGCGCTCTTAGGTGAAAAGTATAGAGAGACACAGAGTAAGAGCTTAAAGGTAGGAATGATGTGGTCACTGTATCTTTGGATAAGATTATGCTTGTTTTTTATAATAGTGTCCTGTTCGTATTTTTCTTCGTGTTTCTACAATGACTAGACAAATATATAGATTTTGTAATTAGAAAACTGGAAAAAAAAAACAGTGAAATGGATTCATTATTTACAGACATCCCTTATTAGATATGGCATATACCCAAATACTTTCAATGCCAAACGTATTTTTAAACACTAATTTTCATTCAATAAATATTTACTGGACACTTAGATGCCAGACACAGTCCTACTGCTCTTAGAAGCTTCCTCCTTGTTTTGGCTTCTTTTCCTTGGCCCATTCCTTAGGCAAGACCCTACCCTACTTCAGCACTTAGGTGATCATCTCAGAGTCTCATTTAGAAGCTCAACTATTGCTGGTGCTACCAACTGCCTCTTCCACAACTCTACTCTGGTGACTTTCCTCTTCTGCATGCCCCTTGGTCATCCTTAACATATCCAAAATAAAACTCACTAACAAATACTCAACTCGAATTTCCTGCCAGTTAATGGACTAGGTACTGAGAGGAAAAAAAAAAAAGATAAGGCAAGCAGTCACTGGTTTAAGGGGCTAATGGTTTGGTACGGGTACTATTATAGAAGAATAGCAGTGGCACAAAGGAAAGAGGGACCTACTGATGCTACTGGAGAAGAGGGTGCAATGCTAACTTCTAATGACCATGTCAGATAGATTTTGATGGACAGATGGCATAAAAGGTGCACAACATGAAATTCCAAACTCAAAATGATCAAGAGCAGGAAATTGAGAGCTGGGCACATTAGAAAAACTGTAAATAATTTGTTATAGCTGAATAACAAGATATACCAGAGGATAGCACAAGAGAAAATTCTTGAAAAGGGGTAGAGCCAAGTCATGGAGAGTTACGGATGCATGTTAAGAATCTGAAGTTTATCCCGAGGCAGTGCAGAGCATTTTAGAAAAGCCACTGTGGCAGCATGAAGTACAGAATAAAGAGAGGTGAGGGTGGCTTCAAGGAAGCTACTGCGTCACTCTGGGACACAGTGGGAATGGAGAAGAACCTGGCAGAATCCACCGCTTGTGACTTAGGGTGAGGGGAGTGTTAGAGAACAGGCATGGGGGAAAATAAGATGGATTTAGTGTGAGGTTAAGATGAAGTACATGTATGAATTCAGGTAAGGAATTGATGGAGTACACATCATTCAAGAGCACCTGTCTGAGGCCTCCCATGCACTCCCACACACAGTGAGTAGTATGCTCCCTAGCTCTTCAAACAAATGTTACAACTATTTCACCCTTCCTTGCTTGGCATTTGCCATCCGCCTTCTCTACTGAATATTCCAAAGCATTTCGTCACCTTCTAAAATGTGATGTTGTCTACTTATTTTTTTTAATGTTTGCTACTCATCCTCACCCAATGCAAATAGGATGGGAATTTTGCCTATCGTTAAATATAATCCACATCACCTCCAAATATCATTCAAACATTGCTCTTTTCTTCCTCCAGTTAATTTATTTTCCAGAGATACTTTAATTGTAAGTAAAAAATAAAATACCATGGAACTTTTGTGTAAGTTAAGAAAGAATAATTTTCATCACTCCCTGCACACACACACACACACAAAAAAAAAAAAAAAAGAAAAGAAAGAAAGAAAAAGAAAAAAAATCCCTTTCCAGGAATTTTTCCAGAGGTAGCCACTTAACTAAATTTTTATATTCTTTACCCACCCATCTTTTGCTTTTTTGTTTCCCTTTCTTGTTTTTGAGCACCATTCCATCGAATACACCTACTTTCCACAAGATCTAATGCTTCTTTTTGTGACCAATCAATGTGAGATTTTCCCATTGACCGTGGCATTCAAGCAATGCCAATTTCGTAAGTAATTATGATCAAGGAAAAGGAAAGAGGGAAATTCGCCTGGGGTGGGGGAGTGGATAGCATCTTGTTATCTCTATAACCATATTCAAAAGAGTTAAAATCCCTCATGTCCAGGATGGCAAGACTACTGCTCTTATTAGGAGAGAGATATCTGACACGTAATAAGGGCTCAAGAAAAGTTAGCTAACATCATCATTGTTAATAGGTAATAGGGTTGTGGGTGTGGTTCAGTGGTACAGCATTTGCATGTGTGAGGTCCTGGGTTCAATCCCAGACCCAGACCCCCATCCCCCACCAAAAGATAATAGGGTAGCTTCCATGAAGCTAAATTTAGATCCTAAATTACTGCTTACTGCTATTAGAAAAGAAGGCCTTCAATTGGGAACTAGCACCAAAATGAACTCTTGTGGAAATTCTGGGTCTCCTTACTATGCCTTGTTATTGTCATACCATTCTGAAGGGTCTCCAGATCCATTTATATTCTACCTGTATTGATCCATTCTGATTGCTATAGATTGATTTGTTTCATAGACATCTTGATACTTGGAGTTAGAATCTAGGATAGCTTGCAAATGTGAAATCTTTGCTTTCCGTTATCCTTGTCTTATGATAAAAACAGTCTTCTTTAATATTTCTTGTGGAGAAGAGATATCCCCTTGTATTGGATTATCTCTTTGGTTGACAGAAGTATTTCATAACAGGGCTGATGGTCAAAATATTTATGCTGTTAGTCTGTGGGTAAAGGAAAAAGCAGGAAACTAATACTTTTCTGGAAATTTCTGTTTTTAATTTTAAATTAATTTCCTCTGAAAATTTCTATTTTTAACGTATTAGTATTATTACTACTTCTCCTATTAATATTATTATTAATTGCAGTGCTGGGGTTTGAACCTAGGGCTTCACACATGCCAGGCAAGCACTATACCATTAAGCTACACTTAAAGTCCTGGAAAATTTTAAATTAGCATCTAGGAAGACTATAAAGATCAAGTTAAATCTCTCAAGCTGTTCTGTGGAGATGCAACCACTGGAAGTAAAAAGTGAAGCTCAAAGTTCTTAAGATGCTGGATGGAGAACTGGAAAGGAACATAGCCTGCTTAATAAGATAATAAAAACATGGTGCATGTCAGGAGAAAAAAAGCCTACAACTTTGATTAACTTTATAATGGTTTTTAACAACTGATTAAGATACTTGTGGCCAGGCACAGTGGTACGCCTGTATTCCCAGGACTCCGCGAGGCTGAGGCAGGAGGATCGGGAGTTCAAAGCCAGTCTCCGCAATGGTGAGGGACTAAGCAACTCAGTGAGACCCTGTCTCTAAATAAAATACAAAAAAAAAAAAAAAAAAAGGCCTGGGGATGAGGCTCAGTGGTCAAGAGCCCCTGAGTTTAATCTCCAAAACAAAAAAAAAAAAAAAAAAAATCAAATTATTCTCAATTCGAATAACTTCATTTTCTTTGCCCTACTAACAAGTATAAACAGAATTTTCAGTGAGAACTTTTATTTTTGAAAGAATGCACCTCCACTTAACAATTTTGTTATTCTGTGGACGAACACAAGGGAGGGAGAAAGAGAAACTAAGGTGATCAATATCTCTTAGATTAGAGAAACAGCTGAGAGAAATAGCTGCCCTCATGGGGTCTTTGCTTTAAAAGGGGCCTGGGACAAAGCAGGAAACCAAAAACAAAACCAGGCGAAGGATGGGAAGCTGCTGCAGCACTGCCCGAGCACAGGTCTCAAACATCTGAAAAACATAACTGGAAAGTGTTAGGTCGGTGGTGGCCACTTGGTGGCAACTTAGAACAAAGCAGCCCACACCGGAATGCTGGCGGAAATGCCTGTCAATCAGCCAGATCTCCTGACTAAGGCCTGTCAATCAGCAGGACCCCCTGGCCAATCCTGGAGTTCAGCCAACTCCCCTGACCAACTCCAAGGGGGCAAGGGACCCTAAAAACACCTTTTCCTGTCCCAAGCCCTTCCCTTCCTGCTGTAAGCCCATAAAAGTCCAGTCCGGTCGAGCTTCCACCGGGTTTCTCCTCAGATCCTTCTCCTGTCCCCTCTGTGGGTCTGATCGAGTTTCGCCAGGGAGTGATATCTCAATAAAGCCTGTTCAGCGGCCCTTTTAAATCTACCTCCTTGGGTCGCTGCCTGCCCCGCCTGATCTGACAGAAAGTGCTTTTATATGTGAAAAATACTGGTAGTTCTTTCTAAGTAAACTAGAATAAAGGCTAGGTTGGGTTCCACCCGCATTCGTCATTTTCTCTTCTATCCCTCTGCCCTTCTAGAAGTTTTACTTCCCTACCAACTTCCTTAGTCGGAAACACAAACCTCTTCGGCTTGTAAAGCCATTAAAATGCTTTGTTTCCTTCAAAGACGAAAATAGCTACAAGCGAAACACATCTCAATCAATCTAACGTAATAACTCCTACGCTTTACCGCCTTTGCGCAATGCGTGTTCCCAGGCCTCTATGAGGCGGAAGAGGCAGAGACACCTCTTTGCGTCATACGCTGGCGCCGGAACTTGGCTGCGACGCCGCGACGATAGATGTTTGGAAACGCGGGGAAAAGTCTACGTGGTGTGTAAGTATGTTTCTTGGGGTTTTGGGGGTAGGTATTTGGGCCAAAAGTTTTTGGTGTCTATATGCTAAAAAGATCTCGGGTGGGATCAGTTTTGGGCGGGGTGCAGAATAAAGTCGATGCTGCCGTCATTTCTCTAGTTTCTTTTAGTTAGCTGTTGGGAGTTATTATTTTCCCCCTTCGGTTAGACTGTTTCTCTGTTGACAGTTTTTTATTTTTTTGGTTTTCTTCCAGCTAAAATTGAAAATATGGAACGTATGTCAAATGAAAAACGCGAGCTTTCAGTCAGCTGAAGCTCTTTGCCGTTTTGTAGCTGAGTGATAGATTCTGCGCAAATTAATTTTCTAAACGGCAACTTTTTCATCTCTAAAACAAGAGGGATGCATACTAGGATTATTGTGAGGATTATAATGAAATAACATGCATAAAGTGTTTATTAACGTGTGAGTTTTGGGTGAGGTTCAATACTTTGTGTGTTTCATCCTTTAGACCTAATCTGTAGTATTTAGGAAAGAAGCAGAGATTAGTAATTGACATCATCTTTTTAGCTTCAGGGAAAAATGGGGATTGGTTGTTTTTTTTGAGAAGCCCCTTTGAGATATTTAATATTTGAGTTTGTGATTTCAGGTAGGAATGGACACTCAGAAGGACGTTCAACCCCCAAAGCAGCAGCCAATGATCTATATCTGTGGAGGTAAGAGTAGCATTTAGATAAAGTAAGAGTGTTTTCCTTATTTTTTTCCTTGAAATTATTGCATTTATTATTTCCTTAAATGGATTACTGGTCTTTAAAGTTATAAAGTAGAACACTTTTAGTAATCCTATTATCTTTTGGTGGGGGATGGGAGAAAAAGAAGGAGAAAAAAAAAAAAAAAAAAACCCAAACCTCCTGTTAAGACTTCATGTTTTCACCTGGAAAAAGTGCATTGCCCACAACTCTTCTTACCTACTTACTATATTTAGTAATAGCAGCCTACTCTTCAGTTTTAGTATATCTTAGTTTTTTGGGTTGCCTTGGATAAAAAATAGAGTTAAGATCATTTTCTTGTTTGCAATGTTTTCCTTTTAGGCATTTATTAAGTGTGTTTTCTTTTCTAGAATGTCACACAGAAAATGAAATAAAATCCAGGGATCCAATCAGATGCAGAGAATGTGGATACAGAATAATGTACAAGAAAAGAACTAAAAGATGTATCCTTTTAACTATGGTTTATAAATATGGTGAGGAAATTAATAATGTTGGGGTTGGTACATACTAAGTTCTGCTAACATAGTAATAACTTTTGGATTACTTTGAAAACAAACACAAGTAACTTTTTTTATACCATTGTATAGACTCACAGTATTCAAATACCAGTTGATTTTGGTTCTCATAAATATTTTTCAGGGATTCTAGTGTTTATAGAAGTTCTCGAGCTTGAGTTTATGGGCAAACTAAATTATACAAGGATAATAGAATTATTGTATGGAAAAAGTGGAACATACAAATTAGCCCAAATACTGAGAGTGAACTATTAATGTAATAGTGAACCAGTTCTTAAAAATCAATGTTATCACCTTTAATGTTGCTTTAGTATTTTTTGATGTATTAGTCTTTTACATGGAAAAAGTACTCATAAAAATTGAAGAAAAATTTTAGATAATTTTCTGTTGTCATAGTAATTACTAAATTCCGTTTTATTTTTGGTATATTTTACATTAAACAACAAATAAGCTTATTGCAAAGAAAAAGTGATTTTCTTGGAAGCCTGAATCTTATATAACTTTTAAGTATCCTTTTGTCCTTAACTTACTTTCACACAGTGGTGGTTTTTGATGCTCGATGAAACATGGGAATTCAGAGGAGTGTCTTCCTTTGTATCTGGATTTGACCCTTGAATGTTTCTCGTTATTATACAGCTTTTCATTTAGCACACTTATCTTATGAATACAACTGTATACATATAATTTCATTTTATTTCATTTTCCAAGTCAAATTGTGTTTAGGTATCAGTAATTTGTGTAAAGATTGTGTAAATTAAATGACTTAATTTAATTTTATTGTATTATGTGATCAGACACAAAATGAAAAATTAAAATTGCTTCCCCAAATCACACTTTTAATTAAACACTTTTAGAAATGCAAGTTTCTAAAGTCCTGTAAAATTCTGATGAAAGAAGTTCCTTGGAAACCATAATTATATGTTGTGAACTGTTGGTAAACTCTCTAGCATTATTTGGTACAGATTAAATTAGTCTACTTGCTCTCAGTATAAAGATATAAAAAAATTCAAAACTAGTAGGTAAAATCAGAAATGAATAGACATAAAGGAATAGCTGAGAATATGTAAAAACAAGTTGCTTCTTCACACATACAGGGTCATATGCATGCCTACCCTTCTGAAATAAGTTCTGTATAGAAAATTAGTCAAAGTGGAATAGATACTTGAGTAGAAGACTGAAAGATTAGAAGGAGCATTACTGGAATAGGGGAAAGAGCCAGTGTAAAAGCTATGGGGCAAACTGTGAACTTACTTTGTTCCCACTTCAAAATGAAGCGCATGTGACTTACACTTCATGAACAGTGAGATAGTGGAAAAAGGTGAGGTTGCATTTTTGTCACTGGATGCCACCAAGAAAGCATTGTTAGAGTCTTCCTACTACCATCATCTCTAAATCAGAGTCCCCAGAGCACCTGAACATCTGCAGAAGCTATTCATCAAAGGACTGAGCTTTGAAACAACTGATGAGAGTCTGAGATGCTATTTTGAGTAATCGGGAACACTCACGGACTGTGTGGTAATGAGAGACCCAAACATCAAGTGCTCCAGGAGCTTTGGGTTTGTCACTTATGCCACTGTGGAGGAAGTGGACACAGCCATGAGTGCAGGACCACACAAGATACATGAAAGAGATGTGGAACCAAAGAGAGCTGTCCCAAGAGAAGATTTTCAAAGACCATGGGCATACTTAACTATGTAAAAGACCTTTGTTGGTGGCATTAAAGAAGTCACTGAAGAACATCACATGAGATTATTGTGAACAGTTTGAGAAAACTGAAGTTATTGAAATCACGACTGACTGAGACAGTGAAAAGACGAGGGCCTTTGCTTTTGTACCTTTGGATGACCATTACTGTGGATAAGATTGTCATTCAGAAATACCATACTGTGAATGGCCACAACTGAAGTGATGAAAGCCCTGTCAAAGCAAAAGATGGCTAGTGTTTAATTTAGCCAAAGAAGTCCAAGTCTTGGAAACTTTGGTGGTTGTAGAGGTGTAGAAATGACAGTTTTGGTCTTGGAGAAAACTTGAGTGGTTGTGTTGATTTTGGTGGCAGTGGGGATGGCTACAATGGATTTGGTAATGATGGAACCAATTTTGGAGGTGGTGGAAGCTCATTTAATTATTTTGGCAATTACAACAATGAGTTATCAAATTTTGGACCCACCAAGGGTGGAAACTGGAGGCAGAATCTCTGGACTCCTTGGTGTTAGAGGCCAATAGTTTGCTAAATCACAAAACCAAGGTGGCTATGGTGGTTCCAGCAATAGCAGGAGCTATGACAGTGGTAGAAGGTTTTACTACTGCCAGGAAACAGCAGGACAGGAGAGCCAGAGAAGTGACAGGGAAGCTACAGCTACAGATTTGTGAACTTATCTAAGCACAGTGGTAACAGGGCCTAGCTGCAACAAAGAAGAAATGATTTAGACAGTACTCATATGTATAGACAAAAAAACTTGACTGTATTTGTGATAAATTGTATAACAGGTCATCTTAGTTTCTGTTCTGTGGAAAGTGTAAAGTATTCTATCAAAGATTTTAATGTAGACTTTTTTCCCCCGCCCGTGCTGTTGATTGCTAAATGTTAGTCTGATCATGATACTGAATAAATGTGTCTTTAAAAAAAAAAATGAGGTTGCAGAGGTGGGCAGAGGCCAGTTCATTTAGGGCGTTGTGATAGGAATCCGCTGGGACAACAAGCAGAAGAGTGACATGAGACTTAAAAAATCATACATGCTTGGGCTGGGGTTGTAGCTCAGAGGTGAGCACTAACCTTGCACATGCAAGGCCCTGGGTTCGATCCTCAGCACCACATAAAAATAAACAAAACAAAGATATTGTGTCCAACTACAAATAAAAATAATATTATTAAAAAATTATACATGCTGTTGTGAGAATGGACTGCATTAGGACATTTGGCAGCGAAGAAAACTGGGCTGGGGTGTTAGCTGTAGGGAGTGAGAAGTAGCTGTGGGACATGCTTTGATGTTGAGTAATAGAACACATTGATGGATTGGATAGTAAAGACCTCAGTATGGGAATTTGTGTAAGGCTTTGGGTACAAATACTCATACTACCCTATTAGCTGGCTATATCAGGCATATCTGTCTCCTTGTTTCTTGGATATAATATTTTAATCTCTAAAGATTGTAATGGTAATTTTCATTTTCTTACCTAGTCCATTTCCTTCAAGTTGCTTGTTTATTCAGCATGCATCTATACATAATTATAACCAGACTAAAACATTAAATATGAATGAAAAGAAAATTAGAAGGCATGTGAATTAAAACCATTCCTCAAATCTTAAAAGGAATTTTTTTTTTCTCTGCTGGAAATACAATAATATGAAGTTGCAGTGGGCTGAGTAAGATTTAGGGCATAATTTTTTGTTTCATTTGTTTTTTGTTTTTGGTAACAGAGATTGAACCCAGGGGGCACTTAACCACTAAGCTACATCCCTGCTTCTTTTTATTTTTTGAGTTTGCTGGCTGGAGTGAGGTATGAAATGACTTCACAGGACCTGGAACATGTGATGTGTTCATGACAAATAATTTAATAAATGAGCCTGCAAATTATTGTAAAGTTGGAATCTATGTCTATAAACATGCAAATTTAAGATTCTCCAGCACTACCAATGGAAACAATTTAAAAAAATCAAAGATTTAGTATTAGAATTTTTACCACTAACAGTCTCTGCTATGTCTTTAAGTGCAAAAGGAAAAAGATTTTTTTTTAATTTCTGTAATATGCTACACATTGTACATTTTCCAGCCATTTTAACTAGTCTGAAATTTATTTTTTAACATTTCTCCACGCGATTTCTATTGTTTTATTAATATGACTCGTATTATGTCTTATTGACCTTTGTATACCAGCACTCAGTGCCCGACTCAGCCGGCACTCAGAAAATGTGAAATGCATAAAAAGGGAATCTAGTCTTTCATTTATTCTTTAAAAGAGAGGATATAATAGGTTGCAATGCAGACTCTAAATTTTTAGTTACGTTTTTATAGTTAAGTAGGAGTAGATACCGATTTAACGAAGGAGTATAGTAGTCCAGGATAACAGCAGTAACAGCGTTTTAACTCAAAGGAGGTGGGGGAAATAACCTCACATTTCAACTTGAGCTCTAATGGTCCTTTTCCCCATGAGGAGTATGAAGCTGGGAGCTGTAAGGCCAATCGTCGGGATGGCAGGTGCAGGGCAGCCAATCATACTGCAGAGGTCCTGCCGATGGCCCGCCCCTCGCCTCTCGCCGTTGGGTCCGGGCGCCAGCTACACGCCCCTTTTGTAGCTCTGGCTTGGCTTGGCTGCAGTGTCCGCCGCAAAGTGCTGGATCTGAGACCCGGTTGAATGCTGGTGAGTACCTGCCCATCAGGAATAACGTACATCTTATCACAGCCCTTCCTCCGGGAGCGGGACTGAAAGGTCGAAGCAGAGAACAAAATCCCCCCTCGCACTGGAGTAAGGAGCGTGAGGAGAGATGAACGTCCTTCCTGGTGGGGGGAACAAACCCGAGCGCTTTCCAGGTCACCAAGCGTGATGGGGGATGTTGGGTCGGGGTCTCAGGACGGGAGTTCCTGGAGTTGGCCAGGCACTTCAACCCTGATGGTCAAAGCCAGGGGCTAGACAGCAACTTCAGAGGGTTTGCAGGTTGTAAAGCTCCAGGACCAGCCCCTAATCCGGCTGTGCCTCCGGCCGCGCGTACATAGAAACCGTTGTCATGGCTGGAGGATGCCGTTTACTTTTGGTCTCCGGCTGCAGGGGGCGCTCAGCCTGGTGAAGGCCGAAAAGACCGTGCCTCGGTGGAAGATGCCCAGGTTTTCGCGTTGCTAGGGTTACCACCAATCCATAGTTGTTTGCGCTGGAGTATTACACATAAACTCATTAGGAAATGTGGAAAGTGGATGTGGGTCATAAATTAAATGGATGTGGGTCAAAAATTAAATCCAGCTAGGACCAAAGATTTTCCTAATCGAAGACAAAAACTGCAAAGATGTGCAAGTTCTTAAGAGAGCAAATAAAGTATCATGCTTTTCAGAACTTGAGAACATTTAGTAATCCTGAGAACATGTATCCTACAGAAAAAAATTGAAAAAGCATGTAAGACACAGAGGAAAGTCACACTGAAAGAAATACTTATATAAATTAAAACTACTTGTTTTTAAAATGGTCACTCAGTAGGTTTTAGTGCAGTGGTTTTTTTAAAAAGTGACCTCTAATATATTTTGCTTTGCAACCATAGGCATTTATATGTGCACATAATTTTCATTTCATAGACATGAATTAAAAATTTTTATAAAACAATACTTAAATGTTGTAGTCCAGGTAGTACTTTTAAAAATTCAATTCTATCTCATGTATCAATACTGATTATTACTCATTAATTTCATGAGTTGACACCTGCAATTTGAAAAGCACTAATAGGATGGTATGTGGGCTCAGTAGTTAGCCTACTCGTATTCATATCCTCAGTTCACTTGTCAACTTGTTTATCTGTAAAAGGGGAGCAATTATTATTATTATTTTATTTATTCTTGGTAGTTTTGGGGATTGAATCTGGGCCTTCACATATGCTGGGCAAACACGACCATTGAGCTGTCACATCCCCAGCTCTGGGAGTAGTTATTATCATCCATCATGAGAGTAATTTTGAAGATTAAGTAAGATAATCTAGGGTACATGGTAATTTAACCCCATAAATGTTAACTGTTATTATTGCTCTTTACTTCAAACCTATCTGACATAGTAGTTGAAGGACTAAATAAGGTAATATATGTAGAACATGTCCATATACTTAGCATGTTGCCCAACACATTAAGAACTAAGTATTTGGGCTGGGATTGTAGATCAGTTGGTAGAGTGCTTGCCTGCTATGTGTGAGGCACTGGTTTCCATCCTCAACACCACATAAAAATGAAATAAAAGTAAATAAAAAGGAACTAAATATTTGTTGCTATTTTAGCAACACTATAATAGCAGCACTATTATCAGTGAAAGTGTCCAAGAACTCCTTATTTCCAATTCAATTCAGAAAGTCTTTCTTAAGGGTATACAGCACTTCTTGTATTAGTCCTAAAGCTATGAGGATGGGTAAGTTCCCTTACAATTTGGGCGGGAAGATAAAGAAACATAATTAAACTATGTGCAATGTTCTGTAAGAGTAATGTAAAGGGTATTTTAGAACACAATACTGGGAGCTGTTTATTGACAGAAGTGAGTGGTAGTGGTGGAGAATGTAAAGAGGAAAGGAATGGAAAAGGAAAAAAACTACAGAAAGGATATTATTTATGTTTGCACTGAGTCACAAACGATGATTGGGATGTTAACAAACAGTATTTACTTTGAGCACCAACATCTGCTTTGTCATTGTGTCCTAGCTTTACTTAAGATAAAGTGAGAGAATCCATGTATGGCACATAGTAATTTGGCTCTGTAAATATTAGCTATTGTTATAAAGAAGAGAGAATTCAAAATGAGTAACCTTCCTCTTTGGAAAAAAACATTCCACCTCCACTGGCTGTGGTGGTGAATGCCTATAATCCCAGCAGCTCAGGAGACAGAGGCAGGAGGATTGCAAGTTCAAAGCCAGCCTCAGCAAAAGTGAGGTGCCAAGCAACTCGGTGAGACCCTGTCTCTAAATAAAACACAAAATAGGGCTGGGATGTGGCTCAGTGGCCCAGTGCCCTTTTCTCTCGGAGTGTCCAGATGGTTACTACTATCCAAATTGAGCATTATTACATATGTTAGGTTCACATTTGTTTTCCTATGCTATATTTTAGCCATGACTGCCAAAGATTATCCGTCATTGTGGGGCTTTGGAACAACGAAAACATTTAAAATTCCCATTGAACATTTGGATTTCAAATATATTGAAAAATGTTCAGATGTTAAATACCTGGAAAAAATTCTTTGTGTGCTCAGGTAAGCATTTAAAAACCATATCATGCTTTATTATGCCAGTTTTAACTATGCTGTGGCCTTCTAAAAGTTAAAGCAACAATAAAAATGTTGAGGAAAGTTTTCAAATATTGAGATGATTGTTTTTGCCTATGGTGGTTTTGACCCTTTGGTTAGTTTGGAGGGTTCCGGTGAGGTCTACTTACAGCATGAGACTTAGCTAATTGGTATCCAAGGGGGCATTTTTCTTGCTTCCTCCACATCTACTAGGGAAAGGTAAGGCAGTTGTGAAAGTAGCCATTAGGAGGTAAGTTGTCTCACCAGCCACCGCTGACACTTGGTACTTTCCACTTCTGTTCTCTGACAGCAAAGGAAGGTGACTCACTGTAAGCTGAGGATGGTGGGGAGGTCCAAAGGTGAGATCAGAAAACAGAGTTATGGTCTTCCTAGAATAGATGATTTATCAAATTTTAATATACATACATGTGGTTGTCAAAAATTATAAGTTTGAGGGTCTTGTTCCCAAAGATTTTGTTTTAGGAAATCAGGGGTGGAACACAGAACTAAGCGAGCCGATTGATTGTCAGGCAGTGGTCAAGGAACCCACTTCTAGAAACACTGCCCTGTGGAGTATGA